CTCTTTGACCACACATTTTGTTCATCAGGATAATCAGGATAACCATTTTTTGAAGGGGGTTTTACTGATGCATTTGATGTTGTAAAATAAAATACAAAAATATCTTGAGCTTGTGTTAATTACAGACCTCATTTCATTTATTAAAAATGATCAAATTCGAACTCGTTTTCAGCTTCTGGCCTACAAAAATACATAGGTGCACTATTGCTTGGTTGAGCTTCTAGAGGTTTAAAGAGTCCCTTTTACGATCGCTCATACGGTGGGTTAGTGATTTCCAACAAAGCCCCTAACTTTAAAAAAGTCAAATTTTACAGGCAAAAAGGTCCATTGGCTGTGTGGCGTTGTATGATGCACAGCTCATTCTGTATTTAAGTCACTTTCAAACCAAGCAGCTTTCTGTTTGTCAGTTCTTGTGAACCCATTGTGAAAACCGTGTGGGGAAATCTTTCGCCATCATACAAATTTCCGATGGATACCTATTGAAATCACAAAAATTTGCCAGACAGTGGTAAATGTAACTTCATTGGCATGTAACTTCTGCATTATGGGCATGAATGAAAGCTTTTTCAAAGTGATCAAACTTGCCATTTTTACCTGGCGGATGGTAACGCAAATGAGAAACTGCAGACTTATATTGAAGGATGGACCACGGTGCCACGATATCATAAATACTTAAGGGTGATGAACTCTTTGACTTGCTATTAAGCAAACACATGCTATTGCAGAATGCTAAGCTGCTGGTTTGGGGAGAAGTGTGTGGTTGAAGTTAACAAAATAGCCAAAATCGCTTACAGCACAACACACTCAAAAGCTTTCTACACTCTTAAAAATAAAGGTGCTTCACGATGCCATAGAAGAACCATTTTGTCTAAATGGTTCCATAAAGAACCTTTAACATCTGAAGAACCTTTCTGATTCACAAAAGGTTCTTTGTGGCGAAAGAAGGTTTTTCAGATTATAAAAAGGTAAGAAAGAGATGGTTCTTTAAAGAACCTTTGACTGAATGGTTCTTTGTGGAACCAAAAATGGTTCTTCTATGGCATCGCTTGAAGAACCTTTTGTAGCACCTTTATTTTTAAGTGTATAGCCTTTTTGTCAAGGCAGCTGGTCTGTATGTGGTCAGTAAGCTAAATGTTTTAATTTAAAGAGATTGTGTGCATGTTTTAAATATGCACTATATGATGTACAGCAAACAAAGTAAAGATCAGGTTTTTCTAAATGCTTTATATTTTTTTCCTTTATAAATTGTACTCTAAATAGTACTTTATGAAGTCCATCAAGGCTATACTGTTCATTTCATTCAGGGTGTTCCGAAGAGGGATATTATATATTTGTACTCAAGAAGTGTTTGTGGTGTAGTGACAGAAGAAAGTAAAATTTAAAAGTGGAGTCACAGAATTAGTTAATTAAATTAATTGGTTTGGTACCCACATATACCCAAGTCTGTCACTTGTTGATTCTTGAACATTACAAAACAGACAGCAAACAATAGGGGGAAAAAACTAGAAAAAACTCTAACTGAAATAATTATGTTTCAGGTTTCTAAAACGTTTATGAGTATAATGTTCTTCAGTGGATTGTTCTTTAAGAATTTACATCAGTCTTCAATTTACTCAAGTTTCTGCTGATAGAGCTTGGCATAACTAAAATGTATATTCATTGTAAAAATTCCCAAGACTTTTTAAGATTTGATTAATCTACAAGACTCTTCCAGGTCTAAAACATAAATATGCTTATTCATGTATATCCATGTTTTCAAAAACTAAGAACCCTGGTTTTTCAAAGGGAAGACAAAAAAAGGTTTCTGAGGGGGTCAATTGAAATAAAATATTTTACAAAAATAAATATATTGTGTTGTGTCTTATTTTATTATTTTAAGTTGTGTTAAGGAGGCCCCTTTTGAACTCTGCACACAACTTGAAATCATTACTATATCAACAACTTTACTCTTATCACAAACCATATCACCCTCTGTAGGTGGGATATCTTTTCAAACACATAAAAACCAGTCAGATTAGGGTGTGTGTAAATGCAGTTTACTTATCAGTTTTGGTGAATTTATTACAGTTAAATTGAATTTTACGATAAAAACACTACTCCACATAGAGGTCAGAATGTCGCTGGGGTTATATTTTGGTGTTAAATAGCCAAAAATCGCTACAGCGACTGCCCTAATTTGTTAACATACCAACGAAAAATATTTTCTCTAAAAAGGCAAGTCACAATGATTTATTCCATTACAAAATTGTAATTTTTGTTAATTCCTACCCTGGCGTGATGTGACCAGCGACGTTCCCGCGACAAGAAATTTAACTGAATGTGAAACTACAGTTATTGAAATGGGATTTGGATTTCGAGCCAATTGGATTTCATTGTGGGCGGGGCTACCAGAATGTTCTATGGCAAGTCGTGCTCTTTGCTTCAAGCTTTCATGCAATCAGACACATGTACAGTCATGTACAAGCGTTTTGTGAATTTGTTGATTTTTAACAGTGCTATTCTAAACATTGCTATGTTATGTCTGAAGCAGCGAAAGGGGGGCCGATGACATGCCACAAAGTATCCCAGCAAGAAAAAACATGTGCCCATTCACGAGTTTAGCCTGATTCGGATGGTAATTGTTTGGGGACCAAAGCTATTTTCAGCATTTACAGGAGATCTGTGATTTCATTGCCGTCCGAATTCAGAATGTCTGTGTTTTTCTCCCACCACCCGTGTAAAAATCCCCGGCCAAATTACCTACTGTTTTTTGACAAACACCAGGTTGTGTGGTCTGAATCCACATCTCTGAGTTTACAAGAAGAAATAGATTCAAAATTCACTATATTAAATATGTATTGACCTCTGCCGAATATCGTAATTGTTGCACTTCGCTGTAATTTACATGTATATTTATTACTGAAATGATGGAAAAGTGTTTACAAGAACAATATTTCATAACTTCTCCACCACAGCGAGTGGGAGCTGTTAAAAACAAAAAGACAAAAGAGAAGAAAAGCACGTAAACATTTGAAATGGGTTATTATTATTGCAGCGAGCGGTAATAGGCATATCACTTAAAATATGTATTATATACAATTATAAACGTAAAAATACAAACTAAGTTTACCTTATGTTAATAAGAGGTTGCATTTTGAGAGATAAAAGGAAAGACAGAAAACCATTTAAACTTTGGTGCGTCTATATTCCTTTTAGGAATTTTACATTTTATAGATTTAAATCATCTAATAATAGGTGGGTAGGATATTATTAAATATGATTTTATTCCATGGCTGCAATATGCTGTGTTTTCTGCAAACTGGCATCCCAGGCTGTCAAAATATTATTGGGTAAACTGTAAGTGAGTGGAATCACAGACCAAAACAAAAACAGACATTCCGACAAGGAATGCACATTTATAAAGTAGAATAACTGACTGTAGAATGTAGCAACCGTAATCTATAGTTTCCGCTGACTGTCATACGCATGTTCACTAGAGAGTGGCGTTCTAGCGGATGACGTAGGACGTAGCATAAGCTCCAGGTGAGAATGTGCTAGTCTCGCAAAAAACATGTTTTGTTTACACCAAAGGAAAACCAGTCTCCTCTTGGCTTATATCGAAATCCTCTCACATTTTTCTTTACAAATCCTTGTTTTGTACTTCCAATTTGTGACTGGTATTTTGTTTTGCTCTCTCCACTCTGCTTCCGTGTTCGTGGAACGCTACTCTCTAGTGTACATGTGTACAACAGTTAGTGGAATCTAGAGATTACGGTTTATAAAGTTTTAAATATGGCTATTTTTCTTACAAATACATCGCTTCGCTTCAGAAGGTATTATTGTATAACCCCTCAGAGCCGTATGGAGCACTTTTTATGATGAATGGATGCACTTTTTTGGGCTTCAAAATTTCAAGACCAATTCACTGTCATTATAAAGCTTGGAAGAGCCAGGACATTTTTTTATGTAATGCCGATTGTATTCGTCTGAAAGAATGCAATGTTTTTTGGGGCAGTCGTGGCCTAATGGATAGAGAGTCGGACTTGTAACCCGAAGGTTGTGGGCTCGAGACTCAGGTCCGGCAGGGATTGTAGGTCGGGGGAGTGAATATCCAGCGCTCTCTCCACCTTAAATACCACGACTGAGGTGAGACCCTTGAGCAAAGCACCGAACCCCCAACTGCTCCCCGGGTGCTGCAGCATTGGCTGCCCACTGCTCCGGGTGTGTGTTCACGGTGCGTGTGTGTTCACTGCTGTGTGTGTGCACTTGGATGGGTGAAATCCAGAGCACAAATTCTGAGTATGTGAGGCCACACATCACTTAATTTGAAAGACATCCATCTAGCATCACGTTTACATTAACAAACGTACTGAAGTTGATTGAAAATATACTATAAAACACGCTCATCGCGACTGCTTCACTTACATGTAACACACACTCATTGCAACCCAGATTAAAAGATAATTTTATGGTATTTTATGGTGACAAACAAGAACAATACAATCTACAATCAGCCCTCTAAACATGAATATACCCTTAACCTATGGAGGTACATTCTTCATGGTGCAGGAAGTTCATATGCCAAAATATGACTTTGTGAATCAGACTTCTTAAATAAATTTTTGCTATATAGCCTAATATTAATGCTGGAAAGCCTATGTACTTGGCAATTGTGTGTCTATTCTATTCTGTCCTATAGTCTATTATATCTATACTATTTCATTATTAAAATCTATCCTCACATTCATCTTGAGTGAGGGGGCAGTCGGGGCAGTCCCCC